CAGAAAATTTGTAATTAAAGGGAAAGAATGAAACACTTATTCTGCCTTTTTAGGGAGATTCAGTTCAGGTATTTTTTAAAATATTTTATTTATTATTTTTATTTTATGTGTACGAGTGTATTGCCTGCATGTATGTGAGCACACCCGTGTCGTGCAATGCCACGGAGGTCAGAAGAGGGCTTCGGATTCCCCTGGAACTGGAGTTAAAGACAGTTCATAGCCACCATGTGGGTGCTGGGAATCGAACCCGGGTCCTCTGCAAGAGCAGTCAGTGCTCTTAACCGCTGAGCCATCTCTCCAGCCCAAAGTTCAGGTATTTTGAAGGCCGTTAGTGCATACTGTTACTTGGTTTTGCTTTTTGAGATGGCGTCTTGCCGCCCCTTTCAGAAGAATGCATTAATATGAAAGAATTAGAAATAGCCATTTACCTCTGATGAGAGTGCAAATAATTATCGATTACATAAAAATGTATGAAGGAAATTTTAAACTTAGGATTTGATCTCACAGCATAATTGCCAATGAAAAAGTCAAAAACATGTCCTGACAAAATCAATATGTAACTTGTACCACTTGGAGTAGGTATCAAATAACCTCATGGATAATGAATGGGACAACCTGACCCTAGGCACCCACAGACATAGACTAATAGGAGACATAAATAAATAGCTATTGAATATTATTGCAAAACCAAATGTTTAACCTCCATTTAATCAAGTCCTACAGACTTAGCTTTTAGTTTAGAGAAAATCCAAGTTTTCAAGAACCAACTTAAATGACAGTAAAAGCAAATGATCAGACAAATTTAGAAGTGGATGCCCTATAAGGAAATTAGATAAAACTATGTATATGTTCCTCTTTCTTTTTTCTCAAAATACTTTACTGGGATCTTTTGGATAAAACTAGGTTCTTGTAAGACAAATAAATGTAAATAAATATCTCTTAGGGAGAGGGACAGGGGCAGCGGTGGGTAATGAGGCTCAGTTCTGTGTCCAGATCGATCATGAATTCTTGTTGATGTGATCCTCTGGCTCAGCCTCTGGGAGGAGCAGAGACTACACCACACTCAGTTATTGCTGTCTACCTGGCACGTAAATATGCTGGTTTCAGGTCATTTGGGGCCTAACAAGTTGACAGCTGTTCATACAGAACACAAGAAAGACCAAGTTCTTGGCATTTTTCCCACATTAGATAGAGGTCATAGTTTGTGGTAGCAAAATCCACAGAAAGCAGGAGAAGGGCTTTCTCTCCAATTGACTCAGATTGAAGACAAAGGGCAGGAGCTACCGCCTCTATTCCTGCAATCCCAATAGCTCTTCTAAGGGGAAGAGTTCAAACCTCAGGCTTTCAGTCCTCAGGTTAGTGCAGAATCTAGGTGAAGGGACACTGCCCCAGTATGGGCCCCAGAGCTCATTCTATCTTCCAGTGTAACACACCATTTGGTGTCCTCAAACCCCTTTGGGGTGCCAGGATTCACCTGCAGGGATCAGCCACATGCACCGAGGCAGGCCATTGCTTTGTGATGTGCCTGGTCATCCAACCAAATGACTCTTCAGGGAGCACTGGCAAGCAGCAGGTGGGGATCCATTTCACCAGGGTTGGACACACCTGTTTTCCTTCATATAGATTCTAGCAGATTTTGTATTTTTGATTTTTCATGAAAAATCAGAACCTAACATACCTTAGCTACAGGGGAATTGCTGCCACCTCTGTTAGGTGGGGCCTGCACTGCTAACTGCTTGGTTCCCACCCCTCTCACCTGCTTTCTCTCAGCCTGCTTCTTTCTTCCTTGACTCTCTTGGCTCCTGTAAACAGAAGTCCTAGCTGCACTAGGTCCACACTGCCAACTGGATGGGACTTTCTGGGAATGACTCCAGACTGATGCCCTGAACACCTTTTGTGCTTCTTCAATGAGCAAGTTGTTAGTTTATAAGAAGAGAAAAAGAAAAATATCTAACTTGACATTTGATAATAAATACAATATTGAAATTAGCTTAATAACTGAATGACTTTTCAAAAACATTGGCATATATGTCGTTTCATCTAAACATTGAGACAGTGACCTAGTTTAGAGGCAGTGAAATCTATTCTGCCTCGTGATAAAAGAAGTCCAGTATAGTTACAATTTAACCCCAATTGGGTCGATGACTATAAATTGTTGCACATTATTATTAAAATTAAATTGCCAAATTAAGTCTTCACTGGGATTAAATTACCAAAGTCTTTTAAAGTGTTATCTTAGTATTTGTCATTTTCTCACATTTTTCTTTTATTCTTTTAAATAATAACAATAAAAGGAAGCCACACTTCTCAAATGCCTTGGTGTCTTATCTGCCAGTGCCTTTAACCTATGAGAAACTGCCTGCTAGATCAGATATAACATACCCACAGGTGAAGATCCACTAGCCAAACCTAAATGACATGGCCATCTTCTGTATTCAAAATAGGATCCCTTGCTTTTCCTCCTTTCCCTACTTTGCTTGGAAGTGCTGATGGGACGGGTGGTCACAGATGGGACCTGTCACCAGGCTGGGATTTCATGCATGTAAAAGCCCCACTTCCTTCTAAATCGTTGAGACAGCAGGGGAAGAACTGACAATGACCTTCTTGTCTCTGATGTGCCAATGATTTCTGTGAGCCCAACAAAGGAATCGGCGCTGTGTTTATTGCTTCTTGCTCCATCCTAGCCCTGTGCATCTCAGGGCTATGAGCATTCCCTCACTGCGTACCAGTGCAACTCATATATATATATATATATAATATATATATATATATATGTGTGTGTGTGTGTGTTCATATCTATATGTGTAAATTTCTTGAATTTTATTGGGGGGAAGAATAGTTGACTTTCAATACTCAGGCTAAACCTTTCTTTTTAAATATTTTCTTAGAACCTAATATACTTCTTTACAATTTTTTGTTTATTTTAATTGTATATGTTTGAGTGTTTTGCCTGCATGTATATAAGCACACCACGTGAAGCAATGCCCGAGGAGAACCAGAAGAGGTCAGGTCTCCTTGAACTGGAGTTACAGACAATTATCAGCTGCCATGTGGGTGCTGGGAACCAAATTCAGGTCCTCTGTAAGAGCAGCCAGTGCTCTTAACCACTGAATCAGTTCTCCAGCACTGTCTGATAAACCATTTTTATCAGACACCTTTTGCTATCCTGGTGGAGGGGGAAGGGGGCAGGTAATTCAACAAGACCCAAAATCCATTATCTGCCACCCTTCAGTTCCATGGTTTCTGGAAATTGCAACTTTTTATTTGGGAAGGTAATTTTTTGGCATATAATGCTCAGTTTTCCTAATCAAACAAATTAACCTTTCTGCAATAAAGCGCAGGAGAGAGGGCACAAGAAAAATAATGACTACAGGCAGCCCTGTAGCTGCTGGTTTAGTGCATTTGCCACACGTTTACCAAAACTTTCTGGATTTCAGAACTTTGGAAATTTTAGAGCTGTGGTGATGACTGCACATAGATTAAATAACTAAGACTTGGCAAAATGGCTCTGGCCTAAAAGAAGGAGTGAAAGGGGTAGAGCTAGAGGATGCTGTCGGGTTATTGGCAGTGTCCAGGAAAGAGGCTGAGACCCCAGAAGGCAGTTGTTCTGGGACTGGCTTCATCATGGAAGGTTCAAGGTCAAGCCCCCGAGGCTGCATTGAAAGCTGCAGGTGGAGGCTATATAGCCCGGATGTGGCAAAACGTAGAACTGGGGGCTTCAGAGAGCATGCAAACTGTGAGATGCCAAAGTGAGCCATCAATGCTTCCATTACCCAGGGCTACTGAGACCACAGAGGCACATCTAACCTAACCACATCTCCTGAATGAGAATCAAGGTCGAGACCCCACATGACCTGTGGACAAATTGAAAGCTGACAAACACCAAAATTTCTTATAGATTTTAAGGATTAAACAACAACAACAACAACAACAACAAAAAAAAAAAAAACCAGCATCTCAGTATGTAGTTCAGGCCTACCTCAGATTCACTTTGTAACTCAAGCTGGTGTTGAACCCATGGTGAGCCTCCTGCCTTGAAGCTGATGGGGAAATGCAATATTTTAAGATCTGAGCTTTCCTTTGGGCTCAAACAGCAGAGGCTTCCCAACTTTCACTGCTACCTACACCCTCACTGCACATCTACCCAGGAATCCCAGCAATTCAGCTGCTTTATGACTAGGCAGCAGCACATGTGTAGGGGAATGACTTCCCTGACATTTAAAAGTCTTGAGAGTTTCCAGGGTATAAAACAGATAAATTAAAAACATTTAAACAGTAACTAAAAGCGTTTAAAAGACAAAATTTACAATGAAAAAGGACTCAAATAAGGAAGTGATAAAAAAAGAAGTCAAAATAATAGTTAAAGTTTTACAGGCGTTGCATTCACTTATAAAACATCACCAGACTTCTTTTAAAGACACCAGCGGGCTTGAGGTGTAACTCAGTGGTAGAAGATGTGCTTAGCATGTATGAGCCCCAACAACAATGAAACAAAGAAGAAAGAAAAAAAAGAAAGGAATCAGTAAATAAATCAATTGATAAATTAATAAATAAATCAGTATATAAAATAAAAACACTCAACATTGACTTCCCAACCTCGAGCGGAAGCTCCACTCTCCGCGCCAGACTCCCTAATCCCCACAACCCCAGCTCCTGGTTCACCTTGGCACTTTGTGCTGTCGATAATATTCAATCCCTAAGTGTAAGAACTTCAGTCATTGTATACTCCTTCTGTAAACTTTTCCAAATGTGTGTAAGAGTATGTTTATAGTTGTGTTTGTCTTAATTCAAGTCTTTAGGCTTATCGTGTCACACAGTATCAACTGTGAACAAATGCTTGTCCTACTAGCTTTCATCTTTACTATACATGATCAGTAGATGATATTTTAGGTTAAATTATCCTTCTATACTGTTCATATATCTCTGTGAAAGAGTTTCTTTGTGGGTGGGTTGAGAAGTCCAGGGGACCTCAAATATTCACTTTTCTTGGTGTCTCTCAGCTGCAGATGGAGCTCGAGCAGGAATATCAAGACAAGTTCAAAAGACTGCCCCTGGAGATTCTGGAGTTTGTGCAGGAAGCCATGAAAGGGAGGATCAGTGACAACAGCAATCACAGCTCTGCCCCTCCCTCCCTAGCCTCGGACCCAGGAAAGGTGAACCACAAGCCTCCCTGCAGTGAGGAGGTAGAAGGAGAGAACCCAGGAAGAGAGTTTGACACACCTCTGTGATCCTTCCGGCCAGACCTTCCAGATTTGCATGGCCACTCAACCTCCATCAGACTCTATCTTACTACACAGATCACTGCCCCAGGGCCATCTTCCTGAGAAGCATCCCTAACCTAAAATCCACATCAAAGGGAGAAGTTCTGGAAGGATCCACGTGGAGGTGCCATGCTGCACTTCCATGTGCCATGTGGAAGCTACTAGAGGTTTACAGGGAAGAGCACGTGTATGTGAGATTTTTCTTTTCTTCCCAATAGTAATTTCAAAACAGGCAACTCCCAGGCTCCGTGGAACATGTTATGAAGGACAGCGTCTTCTTTGAAGAAAATTTGAGCTGGTGTTTTCATTTGAAGCTCTGGTGTAAGGTATTTCAAAGTAAGAGGAATAGTTTGAGAAATGCATCGTACTATTTAGCACTATGGAATATCCCACTTTGATCACTGTTTTCCTAACTGCCCCTCAACTCCATTCAAGTTAACATGCATATTAAATTGTTTTATCCTTTGCTTTGCAAGCACTGGTGGCTTGCAGTTTTGCTAATTTATTTATCATAAAGGTATCAGTGTATTTGCTGCTGACGTGGCTTTATTAAATTACCATAGTGACTCAAATAAGCAGGTTTCTTTTATGAAAAACAATCACTTGATTGTATTATTGCCCAGTGAAGCCATCCCAAAGTTAGCAATACGGATTGTGCATTTGGCTGGATGAGCAGACTGGCTGTATGCTTTCAGGCATTTGTTGGTTGTTGACCTGAAATGATCAGCTACACAAGGATCTGTTCTGTTGAGTAAGCGATAAGCTCATATATATATATTAATCAGTATTTTAGTCAGAGTGAACAGGTTCCAGAGGGTTACTTTGTTGTCTGATATTTTTTGGGATTCATTGTGTTTACTGTAGAAAGGAAGACAGAATATTTATCTAAATGCACATGTATAAATGATAAATATTATCTCCATGTATATATTACACGTATGTACCCAGTCATATAAGCGCACACACATACATATGTGTGAGTGTAGATATGTGTTTATAAATTGGCAATGACCTAAATCTCTTCCATAAGGTTTAAAACCCAATTCAGAGATAAATGGACAGAGAAGAAAAGGGTCAAACATATACATAACATGGATATTAAAATATCTGGAAATACCAAGAAATAGTTGATGGATTCACTGATGTAACTTGAGGTAAACTTAGAATTTAAAATATGAATTTGCCAAAAATTTTTGCAAAATCAAAGATTGGATTTAAGTATCAAATTTTAAGCTTGTTTTAATGGTCAGATATATAAAATGCATAGGAAAATAGAGTGCAAATGTATTAGTACTATCTTCCATAATTTTTAACTGATTACTTTCAATTTTATTCTAATAGTGATAAAACTTTGATTATATTTTAGTTTATATATTTACTTCACTTAACCATGTCTTTTTAAGTTCTTATTTTATTTTAAGGGGAATAAGAGAGGAAAATTTTATCATGTTAAAGCTAATCAAAATCAGTATTAAAAGGTCTTAGGAAAGAATAATTATATAAAAAATATGATTTAGAAAGCGAGTCAAAGAACATTAAAACCCAGAAATGATATGTTCATGGCTTTATTTTACTTTAAAGTGAACCTGTCTTATTCTAGTTTAGCAGAACATTTAACAATGCAAAAACCTGTTGTGTCCTGAAAATTGTTTCAAGAATTTAATATTTTTATGGAAATGATTTTATTTAACTTTAAGCAATAACTAGGGATCACAATTAAGTTTTAATCAAAATGAAGGCTTACTTCAAACACTATGAAAGTGTTTGATTTAAAAAAACACACATCTAGTGAGGCACAGGGGGAAACCACCTCTTCGTTAGTGATGATTATATTTTGATCTGAAGGATCTAGAGTGTTAATTAGACACTTAATAAAACTTAACTTCCACTGAAATCTTTTGTAAACCATTCTGCTTTTACACTCTGAAGGGAAGGCATTACTCAGAAGCAAGAATGGTCAAAGGCGAATTCTGAATTTTTATAAGCAAAATTATAGACTGTCTAAAATCGGGGAGGAAGGAACTGATAACAGCATTCATAACCAAACACAACGCTAGTTACTACAGAATATTGCATCACATTTTAGTTCAGGTATTGACTAAGGTTGAATAACTTTGACTTTCAAAAAACTTTTTGGTAGTTGGATTTCGTTATCTTAGTGATTCTAGTCATTTTACAATATGTTTGTATTTGGCCATTTACTGTAATCACATTTTTATATCTGTACAATGACACTTTTTGCAGTTGTGGGGTAGCGTGTGACACTGTGCATCTTGCATCATTAAAGCTACTACAGTGATACTATCATTTAATAATGTTAATCTTACTTGAAATAGACAAAGATAACGAGAAGGGTCTATATGATGTGCAGTTTTGTGCCTTTATGTATTTGCCTTGTTCTTTGTTGAATGTGTTAACTTCTGTACTGTGGTTTTTCCTCTAATAGAGAATAGAGTCGTGTATTAAATTAGACTGTGTCCCTGGCACCTTTACACTACTGAGAATAGTATGGTTTCGGCCATGTAAATCAGTGTTCAAAGTTCTAATGACATGCCATGTGTTTTGGTTTTTTAACATTTCATTTCAGCACTTCAGTACTACCGTCCGTCATTTAATACTCCTGTACTAGCTAAGCAGTCATTAAATAAGTTCCGGAAGAAAGGGCCATTGCTTGCATTCCTTTGAATTTAATGTTGCGCTTGTGCACTGTATTAATATTGTTTGTGATGGATTGGACATTGTGACTTTTGCCTTTTAAGAAGAAGAAAAAAAAGAGGTAGGACAAAGCATTTGAAGCTTTTAAAAATGTACATATTTTGGTTCTTCTATCTCAAATTATTTAAAATGCATAATTCACATTTTTGTAATAATTCTATGCAATTTTGTGGCATGATGTTTCTTCCACTTGTAATTTTATGTGCTTTCATCACAAATCCAAAGGAAACAATAAAAATTTCTTGACACAATCCAGCTGTCCCTTCTTAGAGTCAGAGCCAAACTTCATTGACAGGGAAGACCGAGAAAAGGGGAAACTACCAGACTTTACAGCTATAATGGTCACCCTGCAAAATGCACAGTGCCCGGGCAGACACAGGGCTCTGCAGCGCTCCTACCGAGGGCATGCCTATCAGACCTGTCATCCCACCACCACCCTCCATCCAGGGTGCTGTCGTGCTCATCACTGCCTGCATGCTCGAGTTCCTCCTTCCTTCCTCCCTTCCTTCCTAAACTAAAGAAGGAAGCCAGAACAGATGTTTCTGATAAATAATAGAACTGAGAACAATGGATGGTCCATTTGATCTAAGTTTTGAAATGAGTTATGCAGTTTCCAGCCTTGATAGGAGAGGGGTGCACATGGGAGTTCTCTGTGTCGGTCCCATAGGCACCCAAATGCAGTATATTAGTTACCTATTGCTGTGAGGGAACCAGCACAGTGAGGGACCCAACACAGATGCATCTCACCCCAGGGACAGAATTGGTCACTGAAAAAGAACTTGAGAGTGGGAAAAGTGTAAAGACACGGCCGTTTGACAGACACTGTCTGCCCATACAGTGCGTATCCAGGTGAATTTCTGTCACTCTTCCCGCTGTGTCTCTTTTTTTCTTTATCAGTGAGCAAAGCAACATGGATCCAGGTGCCTCAGAAAAAACAGTGGCTTTATTGCTTTGTCTCTGCTGTTGTTGATTTTGGTAGGGTCTCATATGTCCCAGGCTGGCCTCAAACTCACTAAGTAAGCAAGGATGACCCTGAACTGTCCTCCTGCCTCAACCTCCCAAGTGCACAGATTACAGGGGTATGCCACCACACACAGTAAACAGAGTACTAGGAATCAAACCCAGGGCTTCATGCATTCTAAGCAAGCATGATATCAAATGAGCCACCTTCCCAGCTCTTTATGTTATTTTTGACAGACGTTTTCCCTTCTCCCTTTTCCAACAAATGGCCAGGTCAGACCAGAGTTCTGAGTCTGTGATAACACATTTATTTGCTTTCTGTCACTATTCTAGTACTTAAGTGGGACTGTGTAGAAACCCAAGATCTGGGGCCAGGAACAGAGGGTTGAGAGAAACCAGAAGGTTAAAGAAGATTCATGAAGCTGTTGACAAATGAGATATAAGCAAAGCTAGCTATATAAGAGCTTATATCACTGTTTGCTTTTGGGGTCCCAGCATCTGGTGTCATAGCCCTCATAGCCCTCCAGATGTTTAGCATTAGCCATCTTGGCTCATGTCAGGAACCCATATCAAGACCATGTTGTCTAAACCTAAACATGCCCTCATGACTTTGATCCCCTTCAGGCCACCACCCCCTCCCACTTGCCAAAATTCTCTTAATTCATTTCAACCATGTAACCCTTCTTCATACTGCAGCTAAACTAGTAATGCCCAAACGAGGTCCTAACCATCTTCACAACAAAGACTAATCCCACCCCTTCAAACAGTGTTGGAGATCTTAAACAAGGTGGTTCTTCCATGGGTCCCTAGCTCGATGTCTCAGTGTGCCTGGCATGTCTCACTCTAGCCTCATGCATCATCCAACTCCATGAGCTCTAAATCCTTACCTTAGACTGCTAGACTTTTCCTTTCTTTTTCTTTCTCTTAGATGCCTCTCCCCAACAATGTCACATCTCACTCACAAATGACTCTCTGCTCACCGCAATGTGTTCACTGGAGGACTATCACACTGGTGATGAACAAGTTCACTTGTTCATCTAGCTGTTAGCACTAAGACAGGAAAAATAAACAGCTTATACCTGAGTAACAGGTGCCATGTACCCAACCCTATAAAGCTCAGGCACCTCCTTTTGGTTGCTAAGAATAATCTTGCTGGGGACATTTGTATACATGTTTATGTGGAAGTATGTTTTCAGTTTTCTTGGGAGGACACCCACAAGTGGAAACACTGTGTCATATAGCTCTACTTTTAACCTTTTAGGATCTACTAAATTGTCTTCCAAGGTGGGAACCATTCTTGCTTTCCCTTATTCTGTAGTGGGTGTGAAGAGGCCTCTCACTGTGCGTCATGATCACTTTGAACACCTTTGGAAAAATGTCTAGTCTTTTGTCCATTTTTAATTGAGTGGATATTTATTTTAAAATCTGGGTATCTTTTTTGATGTTTGACCTGAGTTTCATTTGTGCCTGTCCATCCCAAAATTTTACCTAAGAAAGTTTTCCCACTTGGCATACTTCTTGGGGTTACTTAAAAGCTGTAGGTTTTAAAGGAAATGTTTCTGGTATTTTCTTTTTCTTTTCTTTTTAAATAATTTCTTATTCCTTAAAAACTTCATAATGTACATAACATATCTTAATGATATTCCCCAACCCCTCCTTCCAAATCACCCTGCCCCCAATACATCTCCCTCCCAACTTCATGCCCTCTTTTTTTTAATGCCCCACTGAGTCCAATTAGTGCTATCCCTATGTACATGGGTATGGAACTCATCTACTGGGTCCATAGGCTGCCTACCATTAGCCAACCCAAAGAAAAATGACTTCCTCCTCCAGTAGCCAGCAACTGCCAATAGCTGCTCAGCTAGTAGTGCGGCCTCAGGAGCCCCTCCCACTCCACGCTGGAATTTTTTTTTTTTTTTTTTTTTTTTTGAGACAGGATCTCCTTGTAGCCCCAGCTGTCCTGGAACTCACTATGTAGACCAGGCTGGCCTCGAACTCACAAAGATCCGCCTGCCTCTGCTTCCCAAGTGCTGGGATTAAAGGCATGCACCACCATGCCCAGCCCCATGCTGGAATTTTTAAGTGGCTTGATCTTGTGCAGATCTTGTGCTGTTGTGACTTCATATGTGCAACAGCCATGTCATGTCTAGAAGACAGCACAGCATGGCATTTCTCATCCATGGTGTTCCCTGAGCCTTGAGGGTTGAGGGGCTTGGTACAGGTGGTCCACCCACAGCTGAGCACTCATAGTCACTTATTCTCAGCACTTTGAACAGTTCTGTTCTCTGCATTAGCCACTGCCCACTGCAAAAGGAAGCTTCTCTGGCCAAGGTTGAGAGCAGCTCAGATCTGTGGATCCACAAAGTCACTGTCTGCTTATTTTTTAACTAAATGTCAAAACTTTATTTTCCCATATTTTTCTCTTCCTCCTAAAAACAAGGCACAGAATATTTTATGAATTCACTATGATTTCATGTGTTTCCTAGTCAAGGAAATGTGTTAAAGACAAGTGAATGAAAATATTTACTGAATAGCCTTTAAAAGTTAAGATGAATTATATAACAAGTTTATACTGTCAAGAAATCTAATGTGCCAATAAGAAATGTACCAAAAAAGGAAAAAAAAATCTCAACAATTAAACTATGATTTTTTTTGTCAAATATGAACCATATCTCGCTTCAGAAAGAAAGCAGAAGTGTTTCTTAGAATCAATCAAGTAACATCATTTCCTCCTCTTTCTTGTTAATTTTCAAGTGTCACCTGGTTTATAAGCACCTCGGTCTGCACATGTATTTATTGAAGCCAACAGAAAGCCCAGTTCCCAGCACCGTTGTATTCAGAGCAACAATGGCCCAAGACCAGGGAGATAGCCGAAAAGATGAATTTGTACTTAGATCTCTATAAGAAGGACCAAGTAGGATTTGATTCATAACAGAGTCTCTTAAAGCTACTTTCTGCCTTTCCTTCAATCACCGTATGTGATTGTCACAGATAAGAGACCTGCAGCCCTTCTCTCCCCCAACTCTAAGCCTCTCAGGCTTTTGTCTCCTTTGCCTTCATCTTGGGATTTAGGCTCTTTTTTTTCACCTTTTCAGCAATTCTGTAAGCTCTCCAAGGTGATGATCATTTTCTCTTTCCTGAATGCTCTGGTGTGGCCCAGTAGCAGGCAGCAGTAGCTTTAAATGCACATGTACATTTTCCCTGCTATACATTTGATCTACACACATTTAATAAACACATACTATGTTCCAAGCACTGATTTTTGTCCTAGGCTACAGTGTATGTTTTTTACTGATAATCATGCCCATATAAGCCTATCTTTAAGGTTACCCTCTAGAGATGAGTCAGGCTGTCTTTATCCCAGCACAACTCAGCAGAAGGAAGGGACAGCTGCCTGTTCATCATAGCAACACTATTGCTGTGAGGGTATAGATAGGTACACACACATGCACACCTGCATACTCACCTCAACTTGAGGTGAGGGTCTTTTCTTCCTCAACTGAAGTTTACATCTTTCTATCCTGTGTTTCTTCCCTGTTGCTCCACTTACCTCCAGCAAAGGGCAAGCCCCAAGCTTTTAACCTATGATAGAGCCCATGTCCCTCTGAGACACAGATTGAGTTCAAGTAGCTGATTTAAGAGATAGAATTGAACCAATTCTATACGATAAGGCCAATCTTAGATCAATACACAATACAAAACAAGGTCTTGTAAAAACTACTTTTCTTTTCCCTTTACTCTGATTTTAAAAAAACATGATCCTAAAACTTTTTCCAATTCTAACTGACTGATGCTAGGGTTTTTCCTCCACTCTATTTTCTTACTGAGAGAGAGATGAGGAAAGCCAAGGAAAGATATTTTGTTGAGTAACTTCTCTTGGTCATCTGCTATCTTGTTCTCGCTTTTCTTTAGGAAAAGGTTTGTTTTCTGCTTTCTCAAAGTTACTCTGGGGATAGAGATATGGCTGAGTGGTTAAGAGCATTTGCTGTTCCTCCAGAGAACCCGGATTAGGTTCACTTCTGTGGCTCCAGACTGAAGAAATCCAATGTTCTTCCTCCTCCAAGGCTACCAGGTATGTACATGGTGCACATACAAACATGCAGGCAAAATATACATACACATAAAAGTAAATAAACTAATAAATAAATCCTTTTAAGTTACTCAGTTTTTATTTGAAACTTTTCAACTGTTCCCCCCCCCCCCAAAAAAACACCTTTGGTGCTACCCAGACCAAATCCTATAACTGGATAGCTTAAATTTTCTACTGTCAATCTCCTGGGGAAAGTAGCTAAT